GCTAGGTGGCGCAGTGGATAGAGCACGGCCCTGAAGTCAGGAGAACCTGAGTTCAAATGCGGCCTCAGACCAAACACTTGACACTTACTAGCTGCGTGACCCTGGGCAAGTCACTTAACCCCCACTGCCTAAGCAAAAAAAAAACAAAAACAAAAACAAAAACAAAAAAAATAGATGAGGAATCTGTGGCAGGCAGAGGTTAATTGACTCGCTTAGGGTCACATAGCTAGACTGGATTTGAACTTAGGTATTCCTGACTCCAGGTCCAGTGCTCTTTCATTTTTATTTTTGCATCTCTGACATTTAATAAAGTGCTTTGCATACTGCAATTTGTTAATATTTGCTTGTTACAATTGTGTTCTCATTGGTTTGAGTCCTTTGTCTACAAGTGTAGGTATCAAAGGCTCATGCCCTCCCATCCAGTATAATCCTCATCCGTGTTTTTCCATAAATTTTCAGTAGAGGTTCCAATTCGCCATTGGTTCTTTTAACACCTTGGAAGTGCCAATGTTGCATTTAGACTATTCATCTACTTTCTCTCATTTTCAATATGCAATGAATCCATTTCCTTTTCTGATCATATATGTCCTTGCTGATGTTTTTTATTCTGCTTCTCAGACACAAATCATTATTAGTAACGTAGAAGAAATGGATAAAATCTGTATACTGTGAGTTTGGGGAAAACATCTTCTCTCTAGAAAAAGTAACCTTATAGCTTAAAAAAAAAAGCCACTGGGATATATAAATAGAGACCCGTAAGCTGTCAAGGACAGAATAAGCTCAATTGATCTTGAAAGCAGGCTTCCACTCTCTTAGAGATTTCCTGCTCCACCAGGATATTCTAATAAGACTAACCTCAGAGAAATGCGTTATCTCCCTGGAACAAACATGATCTCTGGCAACTCTGTTTGATCAGTTCTCAAGGTTAGCTCATTCTCCCCAAAAACAGCTGATTTCCTGTCCCGGTTACTCACTCTTCCAAATAAGGAAATTATCTGAACAGCCTCACCTAACAGGCAACTTTTGTCTTCAGTGATGTTGCCCTTATAGTTGCTCAATCATGTCTAGTTTTTCATGACCTCATGGACCACAACACATCAATGTTGTCCGTGGGGTTTTCTTAGCAAAGATACTGAAGGGGCTTGTTATTTCCTTCTCCAGAAGATTAAGGCAAACAGAGGTCAACTGATTTGCCCAGGGTCACACAGCTAGTAAGTGTCTGAGGCCAGTTTTGAACTTAGGTCTTCCTGACTCCAGACCCAACGATCTATCCACTGAGCCACCTTGCTATCTCAGTGATCCTAAGACTTCTTCTTTCTTCGTTCTTCTTCTTTCCTCTTCTTCCCTCAACACGTGGTCCCTCTCTCCACTTTGGGGTGTCATCCTTCCATGTGGGTGTTCTGTCCATAGGAATATAATTTGTGTCACTTATATTTTGTAACATTTTGGAGTTTGAGGCTAGATTTTTTCCTTATTAATTTTTATTATTTTTTAAGCTGGAAGAATTTAATTTTTGTCCTGTGCAGTTTTTATTTATGATTTCTTGAAAAATAGCTCTGAAAAAAACAGGCTTTTAAAAAGCCCATTGTGTCTCAAATGAAGCTACTTGACTGCTTTTAAACCCAAATCATTCTGGCTTTCACTGAATGGCCAATAATAACCCCCAGCCCAAGCCTCTATGGTTCATTGTTTAGATTTTGATGGCTTAGAATGAGTGTAAATAGCAATTGTTTTCTGTTCTGGCCAGAAACTTAGAAGGTCTTCCACTCTCAGACTGACATTTTTGTGATGATAAATTAGGCTATCTTTTGTCTAGATTCTTACCTAGCACTTAGTTATTGAATGGGTGTTGCTTCAGACAGACTGAGACCTGGGAAAGACCTTAATTTAGAAAGATCAAGGTCACCCACTGCATCTTCTCCCAGTTATCTTGACTTTTGTCTTACCATTGGACTCTGATGACTCTGGAGGAGAGAGTGAGGCTGACAACTTTGCTCAGCTCTGCCTCACTTAAACCCAATTCAATGCACAAGTCAAGATATCACCCTCATGATGTCACTGGTTCTCTTAGAGAAGAAGGATGAACAATAAAACAATTCATCCTACCCTTTCTCATCTTGATGCCTTTCTTTGCTCAAGCTATTGCTCCCCTCCTCCCATCTCTGACTGTCAAGGTCCCTCCAAGGGCCAGCTCAGAAGCCTTTTCCCCAATGAAACTTTCCCTGACACCACTTTATAAGTAACACATTTTTTCATAGCATCTCTCCAGGTTCTTTACATTGCCCCTACTACATTCAACCTTTTAATAAGCATACATACATAAATAGATGTCATGCAGCTCTGCTTGGTCTCAACTCCATGGAACAAGATGTTCCTCACCCCTTCCCCTGCCTTCCAGCTTCCTCTTGTGTATTGTCTTCCTCCATTAGATGGTCTCTTTTAGGGCAGGAACTATCTTTCGTTTTCTTATTTGCATCCTCAGGTCTTAGCACAGTGCCTGGCACATAGTAGGCACTTAATAGATGTTTCCTGAATTTATATGTGTGTATACACACATGCTATGTATTATATATAAATATGTTGTGTTTCTATATAATTTATATATAACGTAGACATAATTACAACACATACATACATACATACATATCATGCAGTTGTTGTTTAGTCATTTCCAACTCTTTCTGACCCCATTTGGAATTTTCTTGGCGAAAACACTGCAGTGGTTTGCCATGTCCTTCTCCAGCTCATTTTACAGATGAGGAAACTAAGGCAAACAGGGTTAAGTAACTCTCCCAGTTACAAGTGACTAGTAAGTGCTCAGACACTTAGAAGCTGGTAAGTGTCTGAGGTCAGATTTGAACTCAGGAAGATGAGTCTTCCTGACCTCAGGCCCAGCACTCTATCCACTGTGCCACCTAGCTATCCACGTCCATGTTAAATCCCTCTCCATTAAGTCAATTTTAAACTCTTTGAGAATAGAGTCTTTTCACCTTCATATTTCTAGTGCCTAGCGGGTAGTATAGAGAGTACTAGACTTTGAATTGGGAAGACCTGAATTCACATCCTGTCTCAGACACTCATGAGCTATATAACTCTGTGCTGATCCTTCAATTCCTTGGATCCTCAGATTTCTCATCCATAAAATTTAAGTCACAAATTGCATTGATGTCATCATAGGGCTATTGTAAGGAGAAAATGAAATAAAGCATACACAGCACCTGGCCGACCTTAAAGTGCTATCAAATATGAGCAATTGCCAATTACTATTATTATACAGGAAGTACTTACTAAATTTTGGATGAATTTATTGCTTTCTTCCCAATATATGTCACTTATTTATATGGTATAGCTTATATACTCAGAATTTAAATATATAGCTATCTATTTCTGAAATAACTTTGAGCCTCAAATTCCTCATCTATAAAATGAAGATAATAATGACACCTACCTCAAATTGTTATGAAGATCAAATAAGATAATAAATGTAAAGCATTTTGTCAACCTTAAAGCACTAAGTAAATGCTATCATCATCATCCTTATTCCTGTTAAGTAAAATCTAACTTTATCAAAATTGAAGGAAAGTAAGTAAAAGTAACTTTTAAATTTGTTTGGTTTTTACTTTTTAAAGACTTTGAGAAGACACCAAATACTTTCAGGTTTCACGTAATATAAATCTTCAAACCAGAATTCTCAGAAAGAAAAAGGAAGAGACCACAATCTCTGTAATCAGGGATACAGATTCAAATAAGAAGAAAGAAGACAGTAAGAAGTGAGAGTCAAGAGAGATCTCAAAAGAGATTAAGGTTGGATCTGAACACCTCCAAAGAATCCAACAAGACAAACTGGTGCCATGCCACACAGTTGTCCCTGCAACTCTGTGAGGTGATAGCTTCATTGAAGCTATAGGTTATGTCTGATCTACAACACATCTCCCAAGAACATTAATCCCACAACTAGACAGTTTTAGTATTTGTTTGTTTCTTTTTTCTTATTTTGTATTATTTTAGTTCTAGTATTTAAGTTTGTTTCTTTTTTCTTTTCTTATTTTGTACTTAAGTTTAAAATTTTTTAAATAAATAATTTTTTAAATTTAAAAAAGAATAGTAATCCCTATTTTATAATTTTATAATCTACTTTTATTCTTTAATGTTTGGAAATGCTAACAAACTGATCAAGTTAAAAGTATATCTCTGAGGAATTGTTTTTGTATAGTGAAATCATTGGTAAGAAGAGACTAAAGTGATAGAGAGCCTTTTTCACAGTGCCTTGCACATAACAGTCGTGTCATCTGTCCTGCTGCTAGTCCTCTTCTCCCCACCTTGACTCCTCCAGACCCTAGACCTCCACAGACAATCCCCCTCCTCTTCCCTGGAGATGCCAAGCCACTCAATTTTAGATCTCTATTCCAGGGCAGAGCTATCCTGACTGGTGAGTGAGCACAAATTCACTTCACCTTCTCTATACAGACCACCAATCCTGTCACTGAGTATGAGGCCCTTCTTTCCCCCTCTCCTCAACAGTAATTAAATCAGTCTTGCCATTGCTTCTGGAAAATGCATGACCATCAACTACCCTGTCGCTCAACTGACCATCCCTGGGAGTCTCCAAATCAAAGGTCCCTTCCCTGGCCATCGCTCCTCCTTATATTGACTTCCTCTATTTCAAGGTAATAGCTGGGATAAGATTCTCGGAGGCACTTTTATATTTGTATCCCCTATGCTTAGCTACAGTGCCTGGTATATGGCTGATACTTAATAAATGCTATTTCATTCATTCATTCCCAATAGGCATTTAATAAATGATTATTGAACCAAATATAATGGCCTCAAATATAGTTCTAAAAATGCCTAAATTGTAACATGTCAGCATGTAGTATAGAGTTCAATACTTCTTCAGTACAGTCCCTAAAGATGCATTTTTCCTGAATCTGCTAACAAATGTGAGTGTTTTGAAGAGATATTCAAGCTATGACATCATAATACATATGTCTTATACTTACCCGAGAGAATTCAAGCCACCTGTATTGAAAACGTCTGCTAAGGTTTAAAATTCTTGAATAAACCATTCTCCACACCAAATAGTTGGCAATGGTCCTGTTAAACACGAAAGAGACAGAAACACATGAGTTGTACTTTAACTCAGGGCTGGATGTTCTGCAGACCACCCCAGAAATCCTTCCTGGAAAAGTTCCACCAGGTTTCTTAATACAAGGATACAGAACTTTCACTTGAGGGGTTAAAGTGTTTTTAAACAGTTCAAACTCAATAAATGAAACAAACAAACAAACAAATAGTCCAGTCCTGGAATGATTTCCCTCATTTAGTTTCTTCAGATACTTTAGTGAATCTACTGGCCTGCATTATAGGATTGAAAATGAAGATAATTAGCTTACAATCAGGGCTCAGGATGCTGTTTCCTGAGGGTAGAGGTTATAGACCTCTTCTTTGCATAGGGTGAAAGACTTATCTATGCATAAATATGCACACACATATATACACATACACACACATATGTACATACACATATGACATACATATACATATATACACTTGTGTATATATATAATATTATATATAGTTTGTTCCTGCATGGATTTTTTTATACCTAGTTGATTATATTTTGGCTCCCTATTGGACTGTAAGTTCCCAGAGGGCAGGGACTGTCTTCTGTCTTTCTTTGTATCTCTAGCTCTAACAAATGGGAGTATTTTGAAGCGATATTCAACTTATGACATCACAATACGAATTTCTTATACTTACCGGAGAGAATTTAAGCACATGGCATGGAACCTAATAGGACTAATAAATGTTGGTTGACTGACTAACTGACAATATCCAACATATATTTTTGGACATGGACAATGTGGGGATTTATTTTGCTTAACTAGGTATATTTCTTTCAAGGGTTTTTTTTTTCTTTTTTCTTTTCACTGGGAATGGGGAGTAGGAGTGAGAGAAAATGATAACTGGAAAAGTAAAATAAATTAAAATTTTAAAAGGACTATATTTAAGAATCACAAGCTGTCAAACAGACCACTAGATCTAGCACACAATCTTTAAAAAAAAAAAGTCTACTTCTGATAAATAGTAGTTGTGCAACCATGGGCAAGTCATTTTTCAGTGCCCCAGAGAGTTTTCTAAGACTCTAAATTATAGAGGAGTTGCTGGTCTGCAGCAGGGGAGGGAGTTCTCAGCCTGACAAAATCACAGTCCAGACTTAAAAATCACAGAGTAAAGCACTATCCTGGGAGCTGAGGTTTACAAAAACAAAATTGTTCTTGTCCTCAAGGAGTTTTGATTCCACTGGGGAGAAGGAAGAGCTATAATTCGCTCATTTTTTTTGATGAAATTTTTTTAATTTTTTTTTTATTTTTAACATGTGTTTTTAAAACTTTGGGTTACAAATCTTCTTCCTTCCTCCCTCCCCACCCACCCTCATTGAAAAGGCAAGCATCTCGATACAGGGTATAGATGTGTAGTCATGCAAAACACTTCCATAGTAGTCCTGCTGTGAAAAATTAGTATATTTCCCTTCATCCTATCCTTACCCCCATTTATTCTATTCTCTCTTCTGACCCTGTCCCTCCTCAGAGGGGTTTGCTTTTGATTATCCCCTCCCCCAATCTGCCCTCCCCTCTATCAACCCCCTGCTCTCTTGCTCCATTTCCCCCTTATATTCCTATAGGGTAAGATAGATTTCCATGACCCATTGTGTATGTTATTCCCTCCTTAAGCCAAATCCTATGAAAATAAGATTCACTCATTCTCTCTCACCTTCCCCCATTTCCCCTCCACTGTAAAAGCCTTTTCTTGTCTGTTTCATGTGAGATATTTTACCTCATTCTACTTCTCCCTTTCTCCTTCTCCCAGTATAATCTTCTCCCACCCCTTAATTTTATTTTCCAGATATCACCCCTTCATCTTCAACTCACCCTGTATCCTCTATCTATCTACCTATACATACATAATTTTTTCCCTCCCACTACCCTAATACTGACAAAGGACTCATGAGTTACAAATATCATCTTTCCCTGCAGGAATATAAACAGTTCAACCTTAATAAGTCTCTTATGATTTCTCTTTCCTGTTTACCTCTTCCATGTTTCACTTGAGTCTTGTATTTGAAGGTCAGATTTTCTATTCACCTCTTGTCTTTTCCACAGGAATGCTTGAAAGTCCTCTATTTCATTGAATTACCATTTTTTTACCCTGAAGGACTATACTCAGTTTTGCTAGGTAGGTGATTCTAGGTTGTAGTCCTAATTCCTTTGCCCTCTGGAATATCATACTCCATGCCCTCTGAACCCTTAATGTAGAAGCTGCCAAATCCCATGTCATCCTGATTGTGCTTCCACAACACTTGAATTGTTTCCCTCTGGCTACCCACAACATCTTCTCCTTGACCTGGGAACTCCGGAATCTGGCTATGACATTCCCAGGAGTTTTCCTTTGGGGATCCCTCCAAGGAGGGACGGATCAGTGGACTCCTTCAATTTCTATTTTGTCCTCTGGTTCTAAAACATCAGGGCAGTTTTCCTTGATAATTTCTTGAAAGATGATGTCTAGGCTCTTTTTTTGATCATGGCTTTCAGATAGTCCAATAATTTTTAAGTTCTCTCTCCTGGATCTATTTTCCAGGTCAATTGTTTTTCCAACAAGATATTTCACATTCTCTTCTATTTTTTCATTCCTTTGGATTAGTGTTACAGTGCCTTGATTTCTCAAATTGTCCCTATCTTCCAATTTCTCCATTCTAATTTTTAAGAAAGTATTTCCTTCAGTAAGCTTTTGAACTTCCTTTTGCATTTGGCTAAGTTTGTTTTTAAGGGCATTTTTCTCCTCATTGGCTTTTGGGACCTCTTTTGCCATTTGGGTTAGGCTATTTTTTAAGGTGTTATTTTCTTCAGTATTTTCTTGGGTCTCCTTTGGCTTCACTCTCAGTTTTTCCTCTACTTCTCTTACTTGCTTCTCAAAATCCCTTTTGAGCTCTTCCATGGCCTGGGACCAATTCATATTTTTCTTGGAGGCTTTGGATGTAGGAGCTTTGGCTTCGTTGTCTCCTTCTGGTTGTATGTTTTGATCTTCTTTGTCATCAAAGTAAGATAATATAGTCTGACTCTTTTTGCACTGCTTGCTTATGATCCCGGCCAATTACTTGAGTTATAAACTCTTTGTTAAGGTAGGAGTCTGTTTCCAGTGTGGAGAATGTACTGTCCCAAGCTTCAGGGGTTTTGTGCAGCTGTGTTCAGAGATGCTTCTAGGGCCCTGTAAATTTTCAGTTCTTCCAAGGTGGTATGATAAAGGGAGAGGTGTTTACTCCTTTCCTGGCCTGTGCTCTGGTCTATGAGCACTCTTTTCTGTCTTGGAACTGTGAGGAGGGTTTCCTCTCCACAGTCACTACAAGCTCCACCACGCCAGTGCTTCTCCTTGCTCCAGGTCCACCACCCATTACTGTGATCCAGATCCAAGCACAGGCAAAGCAAGAGAATCCTGCACCAGCAGACAGATCCCTGCAATCCCCCTCTGATCAACCACTCAATTCCCCCTCAGTTTGTGGGTCAGAAGTTCAGGAGGCAGCTGCTGCCCCCGCCGAGCTCGGGGACTGGAGCTGAGACCACCGGCTTCTCTCTCTCCCCACTGACAAAGACTTTTCCCACTGACCTTCCAAGTTGTCTTTGGTGTTCATGGGTTGAGAAGTCTGGAAGCTGCCACAGCTGTCTGAGATTCAGTCCTCTGAAGCCTGCTCCAGGGTAGCTATGGCCTGCGTGTCCACACCAAACTGCGCTCCTCTCCCCGCCCGGCATGATATACCTTTCTGATCAACCATTCAGGCTATCTTGGGCTGGAAATTTGTTTCACTCTGTCTTTTTGTGGGTTCTGTTGCTTTAGAATTTGTTTAGAGCCATTTTTTATATGTATTTGAGGGGTTTGGGGGAGAGTTCAAGCAAGCCACTGCTTTTACTCCGCCATCTTGGCTCTGTCCCCCCTATAATATGCTCATTTAAGTAAATACAAATTTAACTATAAATTATTAACATTTATAAAACAAGATCTTATTCTAGAAGATAGGAAACTAGAGTCAATCTTATCAGCAAGAATTGAACATGTGTGGGCATGTGTGCGTTCCTTAAATAATCTTTTCTTTTCTTTTTTAAAGACCTTTTAATTTTAAGTCCAAAATATACTAGTTCCTACCATAAAGAAATTGTATGATAGGTTCTTGTTATTCAGTCATTTTTCAGTCATGTCTGACTCTTTGTGACCCCATTTGGAGTTTTCTTGACAAAGATACTGGAGTGGTTTGCCATTTCCTTTTCCAGCTCATTTTATAGATGAAGATACTGAGGCAAACAAGTGACTTTCTTTCATTGCTTAAAGGAAAAAAAAAACCTCATAAAAAAAAAACCAGGGGCAGCTAGGTGGCGCAGTGTTAGAGCACCGGCCCTGAACTCAGGAGGACCTGAGTTCAAATCTGGCCTCAGACCAATCACTTGACACTTACTAGCTATGTGACCCTGGGCAAGTCACTTAACCCCAATTGCCTAAAAAAAAAAAACACAAAAAAAACAGACTAATTATGATGTGGATCTTAGTGTCACCACCCTTCTCTACTGCCCCAAAGAAATTAAGCAACCAAGAATCCAATGACTACCTAGGATCCCTCCTTTTATTTATTTATTTTTTGGGGGATACATTCTGAATCTGTAGTAATTATGACAAACTGAAGAAGGCTTCTGATTCAATCAATTCCTCCTTTATTCACCTCTTCAATTTGGTACTCTATATGTGGGTATGTATATATGTGTGTTGGCATAAAGCTGGGTAACATTTGTTTGATTGTCTAGGGGAAACTATGAAACTACAATTTGTTCAGAGCAGTTTCTCATCTGTGTTGATAGATGGAGTTCCCTTATTGAGAGTTCCCTATACCAAAGAACTCAGGTAGGTGGCACAGTGGATAGACCAGTGAGCCTGGAGTCAAGAAGACTCATCTTCCTGAGCTCAAATATGGCCTCAGACACTTATTAGCTGTGTGGCCCTGGGCAAGTCACTTAACTCTGTTTGCTTTCGTTTCCTCATCTGTAAAATGAGCT